GAGTTGTCTGGTTGTATTTCTGCTTTTATTTCAATTTTTAAATCTTGCATTTGTTCAATGACTTCATTTATATCTCTAGCAGAATTTTTTTTTTTCTTGTTTTCATTTTTTTGGGCCTGTTGCTTGATTTGTTTTGGTATGGGTTTTCTTTTCAATTCTATCTATTTTATTTTCTTCTTTCTGTATTTCTTTTTTACTTATGTTTATAATATATTTAATTGATGCTGGGTTGTTTCTTGTGATCTTGGCTTTTTCTGCCTATCTTTTGACTATATCTTCTTGAAAGCAGAGGTCTGCTTCCCTTAAGACATCTCTTACTTGTCTATATAATAGTAACTCATATACTGTTATATGGTCTGGGTTTCTCACTACTAGATCTTTAGCTAAGTTGTCCAGATCATTTGGTTCCATTAGCGTATAGGTTTGAAGAATTTCTAAAAGTTTGTTATTATTTATATATTTCATAACTTGGGCACTTGCCCCATGTATATATGACATTAAACCGGTCCAAACTGGTTTTGTTGTTTCAATTTTCATTTTTGCTAGAATTTTTTAAGTTTCTTTGTTGTTTTCTATAGATTCACATGTTAAAATCACTGTTGGTTGTTGATGAATAACAGTAGTTCCCAAAATAGAAAATGGTTGCTTTTTGTTTATTGTTATTATTTTCTAACATAGAACATGTCTGCTTTGTTATTTTCTAATATAAAATGTGTCTGCTTTGTTTGTTTGTTGTTATGGTGATTTCTTGTCACGCAACAGATTTACAGAGTTTAGAGTGAAAATCCAAAATCCTCAAAAAATTTTAACAAAAATTGCCAAAAGTAAAATATTTTTTGAAGCTCGAGTATCTTCAACTTTTTTTTTTAAAAAACTAAAGTTAATTTTTTGTGCTGAATCTTTTTCCTTAATACCAAAGAGTTTGTTTTCTATGTTGTTTGTTGAGAAACTCTTCGTTTTTGTTTTATTAATTTTTAGAATTAATGATTAGCAGAGAGAGTTGTATTAAATAAATTTTTTGACTCTTGTAATCTATTAAAATTCTTTAAATATAAAAATCTAAAAACAGTTTATTTTTATATTTTATTATAGGGTATATTTATTTCTCACCTGGGTAAATTATTCACCCTCTATAACAAAAATCGAAAAAATGTTAATATCTCAAAATTTTACTAAGGTAACCTATCATATAATATAAGCAAAAATGTTTCTTTCGCAATTTTACTATAGGCTAACTCTAACTCTAACTCTAAATCTAACCCTAATATATTAATATAGTTAGATCTTTTTTGTATTTAAAAGAAGTGAATAATTCACCTGAGTAATCAATAAATTATTTCTTTATTATAAATATATATACAGTTAGACCTTGATATAATCACCAGGTTGGAAAACAAATATTTAGTAATTATAAAAAAATATAACTATATAAAGATCAAATTTTATATGTTTTATAATATTTAGAATTAAAAAATAGTGTGATTATAACAAGGTTGTGACTATATTAAGAGTGACTATAACAAGGTCTGACTGTATTTATAAACTATTGTTTGCCTAAACTATTACAAAAAAAAATATAGTTTTTTATAAATATAAAAAGTAATCTTACTTTTTGAATATTGTTATATAGTAAATCTATAAAAGATCTCTGTAACTATATTATTATTAAAAAGGCTATGATACTGTAACAATATACAGTAAATAAGCTTAAAATTTTGAAATTTATCTATAGTAAACTTCTTTTTTAACTAAAACAACCTATTTTGTTTTTTAAGTAAACTTGTTTAGTATAAGATTTTGTATATAGTTGTATTTTCAAAATTAGTAAATCTTTTTTTTTATAAAATTTTACTAGTAAAATCTTTTTTACAAAATTTTAAAAAATTATTTTAAACAATTTAATTCAACTATTTTTGATAAATTTAACCCCAAAATTCGAAAATAGGTTAATTTGCAAGTTGAAAAGAATCTTGAGTTTAAAGTTTGTAGTAAATTTATATGTTTTTATTATAATTTATCACACAGCGTGATATCTTCCCTGACTGATATACCAAATTCGCGAATGAGATTATAATTTTCATTTTCAAATATATACGTATCAGATATGTATACGTATGTGTACTTACATTATATATATATCGTGTATATATATATATACAGTATATATAGTCAAACCTCTCTATAATCACATCCTTGGTTTTAAGAATTTGGTGCCTATAAAGAGTTTGTGCTTATATAGAGGTTAAGTGATATATAAGTAGTTTTAAAATTTTTGTGATTATAAGCAAATGTGACTATAGAGGAGGTGACTATAGAGAGGTTTCACTGTATATTAAAAAGAATACCTATTCTAAATATAATAAAAATGCATATATAGAAATCATAGTCAAGTTTATTGTTTTCCTATTATTATCGAAATAATGAATCGGTTACGTACAGAATTTATAATACGTCATGGGATATTATATTATATCACATCTGTTACATTTATAATCAATAGAATTTTGATCACAAACACGACATGCAATATTATTGAAACAGATTTCAACGTTTTTGTCCCCGTGTTATTCATATTTCACGTCTTCACACGTTTCGAAAACGACAAGGAAAAAAAGATGGCGACAGAGATTGAAGCTCCAGTTCAAGTGACTGAGCCTGATCCTTCTTCGCAAATTTATAAGGCAACATACTCTGGCGTTCCAGTTTGGGAGTTTCGGTTGGCGTTATATTCAATGTGTGCTTTAATCGTACTTACCATATTTGTTCGAAATTTTAACAAAATCTTCTATCGCTTTTACGATGTCAATTTTCACATTTACTGAAGCGTTCGAAGCGTTGCGGTTATGCGCAGGAAGACAGATTCGTGGCTCAACGCTACACAAATCTTAAAGGTTGCTGAATTTGATAAGCCTCATAGGACCCGTATTTTAGAACGCGAAGTCCAAAAGGGTGAACACGAAAAAGTTCAAGGCGGTTATGGAAAATATCAGGGTACATAACTTTTTAATATACGTATAATCTATAAACATTCTTGAGATTTGGCGTGTTGGCTTTAATGATCATATATAATTATAATGGCTGACTTTAAATAATAGTTAATCTTAAAAAAATATATTTAGAAATAATTAATCAAATGTTAAAAAAATATGTATATATTTATTTATTTATTTGAATAGGAACATGGGTGCCATATCAAACAGGTGTCGACCTAGCAGAACGATATCACGTAAAGGAACTTTTACAACCGATAATTGAATTTCAACCATCATCGGAAAGTCCACCTCTAGCACCAAAGCACGTTACTGCCGCGTCAAATAAGCCACGTAAACCACGTGAACCTAAAGAGCCCAAACATATAAAAGAAATTATCTGAAGACAGTAGAAGACTTGACTACTAT